TTAAGAAGCTGCTGGAATCTGAAACTGCTGAGTATCACAGAAACCTAAAATACGGGTTAAAAGAATCCTGTGTGACTTACAGAGGCATCAGGAGACAGATAGGGGAAGTGAAGAAAACAAGGGAGTGAGTGGCTGTGCAGGCTCAGCAGAGGGGACAGACACAGAAGGACCTGATAGACATCAGAGAAAGAAGAGGGCAGGCAGGGCTGAAGGAGTGGAGAATGGATTGGGTGCTGGGGAGAGGTTCACCATGTAACAGCCTTGAATTTTAGCAGCCTGCCTATTAAATGTCAACCTTGCACTCTTGTTGTAAACTAGGATGCTTTTTATTATACCTGAGCTGTTCTTTCATGAACTCTTCTGAGAGCAAAAAATCTCCAAAGTCCCCTTTCTTTGCCTCTGACTCATGTCCAGGTCTTCAGTGTGTCTCACTGCTGTTTTCAAGTGTGTGGGTAGTTATCCATCCACTGTCCAGGGAAGTAGATATCTACTGGGGCCTGCTATGCTGGACCTGTCTCTGATTTTGAAAAGCAAACCGAATCATCTTAAATGATGCAGTTGTCTACAGAACAGAAATTTTTTAGAACATGGTGGAAAAGAATCTGCAGTGATAAGGAAATGGGAAAGCCCTGGACTGGGGATGTTTTTAGTGCCCATGGCAAAAGATGGAGTGCAGAATGGAAAATCAATTGGGAAACGTAGGTGGGAGATGCAGATTTGAGTCCGGGCTACCTTGTAACTTCTGTAGATCTAAAACCCTTTCACTTTTGTGAGTCTCTCCACCATCATAATATTAATATTAAACTTATTTTTCTATACATTTACATAGTTCAGTATTTTGTATCTTCTGTTATTTTAGGCAAAATATAATAGGATTTGTGTGCCTTAGATATCTCACTTTTTTTTCTCATGTGAGAAAAAGTTAAAACATTTTCATGGACTTTTGGACTTTAAAAGTTACTTTTTTTCTTCCTGAGTTTAAAATCAGGTTAAACATTTCATAAACTTCTATATGTTTTGTAGAACTTGCACTTCCTGTATGTAATAGCTTCCACCAGTGACACTCATTCTGGGGCTGGTGATGTAGGGGAAGCTTGAATCAGCCCTCCTTCATGGGGGCTGTATTTCTGGTCCAAGGGCAGACCAGCCTCAGATATCTGGCATAAATGTTTGCAGTTTACCAAGGCATAAATTGGATGACTTCTTCTATCCTTTTCTTCTAAAAAAAGTACTTGAGAGAAAGAAAGAGAGAGCTCATCATCTATTGTTTAACTCTTAATGTCCACAATGAAGCTGGGAGTTGGAACAGAATACTGTTAACCTATGTACATGGCAGAAACCCAACTCCTTGGGTCATCACCTCTGCTCCCTGGGTTCACATTAGCAGGAAGCAACAATCGGGAATCGAGAGCTGAAAGTTGAACCCAGGTCCTCAAATGTGAGAGGTAGGCATTGTAACCAGCATCTTAGCAGCTGGGTCAAATGCCCATCCTTGCTTTCTCCTTTTTTTTTTACACTCTAGAAGATACAACCTGTAATTGTATGCAGCTGGAAATTTAGTGTACATTATATTTAATGTCTGCACAGTATTAATTGGTTATACTTAGTCATTCCTTGACTATTAGATGTTCAGTTGGTTTTCAATTTTTTATTCTTGCCCAGAATGAACAATTAATATTGTAGTCTTTTCCTTCTTTCAGAAAATTTTCATTACAAGAATTCCTTGGGATGAGAATTGAAGTCAGAAATTATGACCATCATTTGTTTTTCTAAGCCTTGACTTCATGCTTCCCTGTGAAACTGCGCTACTTTTACTCCTTTGAGCATTAAATACTAAGAATAATTTACTGAGGGGAATCTTGGGAAATAGTAGTCCTTTACAGTTCTAAATGGTTCTCCATGGATCTGTTGCAAGGTATCATTTATCTATGTGAAAGCAATGGAACCCTTGATTTTGGCTAGATACATTACTGATCTTAATATGTTTTTAGTATTTCAGTGATTTAGTCTATTTAGACTGAGGTAGAAGGACTTTTTAAAAAAAAATTGTTTACTTATTTGGAAGGCAGAATAACAGAGAAGGAAAGGGGAGAGAGAGAGAGAGAGAGAGAGAAAGAATCTTCCCACTGCTGATTCATTCCCCAAATCCCTACAAGAGCCAGGGCTGGGGGGCTGGCACTGTGGCACAGTGGGTTAATGCCCTGGCCTGAAGCGCCGGCATCCCATATGGGTGCTGGTTCAAGACCCTGGCTGCTTCACATCTGATCCAGCTCTCTGCTATGGCCTGAGAAAGCAGTGGAAGATGGTCCAAGTGCTTGGGCCCCTGCACCCACGTGGGGAGACCCTGAAGAAGCTCCTGGCTCCTGGCTCCTGGCTTTGGTTGGGCACAGCTCCGGCCATTCTGGCCAACTGGGGAGTGAACCACCGGATGGAAGACCTCTCTCTCTCTCTCTCTCTCTCTGCCTCTCCTTTCTCTGTGTAACTCTGACTTTCAAATAAATAAATCTTAAAAAAAAAAGAGCCAGGGCTGGGCCAGGCTAAAGCCAAGAGCCAGGAACTCCATCCTGGTATCCTACGTAGGTGGCAGGGGCCCAAGCATTTGAGCCGTCATTTGGATTAGTACTAGAATATCTGGGGTTTAACCAGCACTTTGATATTGGATGCAGCTGTCCTAAGTTGTGACATAACCCACTGTGCCACAATATGTGTCCCAAAGAAGGATATTTTAATTGAATTTTGAATAAATCATCCATGTGGGTGATCTGGAATAGTGTGGGAAGTTCAAAAACACAGCATTTTTCTCTTAGAGATGTTGTTGAAGCAGTTACATTCATTGTCCTTCCAGGATGTCCCTTTCTTGGGAATAGAGCTGCAGTCATTCTGCACTGGGATGGCTGAGCTCAACTTTCCCACCATTTATGGCTGTAACAGTCTAATGGAGTTGAGTTTCCTGCTTTCCTGGATCTCAAACAGCTTGGTCTCTGAGTGCTGCGCTTCCCCAAGTGTTTCCAGAGAAGACAGCCTGAGGGAGAGGAAGTGGTGCTAATTAAATCCTCCCTCTGTTTTCCAGGCACAGGAGCCTTCGCAGATGTCTGTTGTTAGGCGCGCATTCACAGAGTGAGCAAATACAGAAGCAGGCTTTCCTTCTCCAGTGACACAAACCTGCCTTCCCAGGTTCTGGAAAACTTTGGAAGTGCATTTCCAACACCCATTGTATTACAAATGGCAGGCCTGTGTGGGAAGAGCACAGAGATGCCAGCAAGGCCAAAGGCCTCACCAGTATCTCCTCTCTCTCTCTCTCTCTCTCTCTCTCTCACACACACACACACACACATACACACAACACACACACAATACGATTTCCCCAATTCTTCACTCCTTGTATTCTTATAGGCCAATTTCTGCATTTGTACACCTAACTTTAAAAAATGGCTTACAAACTAAAGGGAGCCCTCCATAGATCCATGGAGGGTATGCTGGTCTCAACGCATGGTTGCAAGTCCAGGTTGTCACAACTATCCAAGAGTGCCCCTAGATAGGTCCCATCTACTAAAGATGGCAGTGGAGTAAAATACAATGTGAGCTGCAAGACTTTTCCCCTTGTGAGTTCTCTTAGCTGACTGTATTTCCGCCTACATGCAAACCCCCTAGGGTAACTGTGTGTGTGTATGTGTGTGTGTATTATATTTGCCTGAAACTATTCCATTTACTTCTATCATCCTGGCATAATTGCTGATAGTACCTTTTTTATGACAAAGTTTCCAGATTTAGGTAATAAACTGTATGATCATACTATTTTTATCTCTCTTGAATACTCTAGTTAATCCCAGCTTCAACTGTGAAACTACTGAGGGTAAGGGATTTTTTTCACTTTCTGGTATTTCCTAAGAACTGAGGAAATGGAAGTAAACCCACTTTTGTTTGATTAATAACACAGAGACCGCTCTGAGAATCAGATGGCATTCCCAATTACATGGTGATATTGGGTTTGCAACCCTGTTCCATGTAGCGTGATCTTCATGCCTACTATAGGATGGCTGACCACCTGCCTCACTATAAAAATGGCTGCCTGATTTAGGTACACAAGTCATTAGGCTAGCATATGCCCCCTACTTTGTTTTGTTTCTTGTTGCTTTATATTTACAAAATGGAAATCAATCATCATTTTATTTTAAATTGTTCATGATCACTACTAGCACTAAGATACATGGTAAAAAAAATCACCCATGCTATTCATCTGGAAATAACTATTGCTAATATTTTATTTTACTCATTTTCAGACATTTTATAACTGCTGTTCTATCCTAGCCAGATTCATCAAAAAATTCATGGAAAATGAAATTCAAATGTGTTTATTTGGTTAAGAAATGTTTAAATCCATGCATAGCTTTATCATGATATCCATTTTTTCATGAACTATTGGAAGGCCTTTGTGTGTGTGTGTGTGTGTGTGTGTGTGTTTATGGAGAGGGAGATAGATTAAATGTCTTTGGTCATTTGTCAATATTATTTCCTTAGAATTGGAATTTTTTAGTTTAAAAAATATGCTCAGTTCTAAGGGCACTTGTGTTCAGTTCCAAACCAAGAAATACACAATAAGGTGCATTATCATTGCTTTTAACTCTTAAATAATGTTCCAATCTGGTGGTTTTTTAAGTAAAAATACTGTGAAGTCTTGAAAAGAAAATTGTCTGACAATGATTATCATAGTTCTCTTCCACTGCTCAGCATCTGGAGTGCTGGGATTAGAGATGAGCAGCTGAAACCTCTCACAAGCTCCAGGGGCCTATGCTGATCTATGTTAAAGTGGTCCTGCCGGATCATGGGGGCAGATGAGTCTGTGGTGTTGAGCTACAGACATCAGTGTTTCTGTTTAGTTCATGAGTGGAGTATTTGCCAGTTTCAGGAACGTTATTTGCTTATCATAGACTATTTGCTATATCCAGGATGCACCGTGACTTTTTTCTGATTAGAGGATTGTTTTCTTCCCTTGGTTTAAGCTGAAGAAATGTCAACAATTGGGAGCCTTGAAGAATTCCAGCCTGTGTCCCTGCAGCAAGAGGGAGATGAGCAGCCCTCTGAGACTGATCACCTGTCTTTGGAGGAAGAGGACCCAGGCAAGGACCCAGTGCCAAGGCCGATGTCAAGGCAGTCAAGTGTAACTGAATCAACACTTTACCCCAATCCATATCACCAGCCTTACGTCTCACGAAAGTACTTCGTTACACGGGTAAATTGGTTGGTTCTCTTAAGTACTATGTAAAACCTCTCTTTAGAAATAAATTCTCAATATTCTATATGGCCCACATTTTACCAAGTTCACATTTGTAACCTGTGTAATGGTAACAATAATCATGAAGTTGGCCTTCTTATCCCCATTTTCCAGGTGAGGGATCTGGACTTCAGAGCAGTTAAAGGTCTGTTATCACAACATAATATCAAGGAGATGGAGACCCTCCCCACCCCAACCTCCAGCCTCCCTGGGTCTTTGGTCCCTCACACTTGTGTTTCTACTAAACCTGGCCTCAAAGAACTTATGTTACATGGAGAAAGAAGCACAACAACCATAGCGCAGAACTGTGAGCCCTGTGTTCACTATTTGTCTGGAGAAGAGATTACTGAGTGGAAAGGTTGCCAAGAATGGATTGAATCTCAAGGATCTATATTCGAACAGTGGATTTACAATGTGGGGTTAAGTTCTTTTAAATCTCAAACCTGTAACTGCAGCCTAGAGCTGAGCCCTCTACCTGTTCAATGGAAAGCAGTGATGGGTATAATGAAGATGGGGCTTCTATATCTAGATAAAACAAAGCAATATTATAAAGTTCTAGCATTTGGAGCAAATGAAGAGTGCTTTCTGGTTTTCTCATACCCTTCTCTCTTGATCGCTCCTTCCAACTTCAGATTTTTTTTTTACTCAATTCTCCAACATTCTTGTTAACACAATAATGGTTAGCTCACAGTGCTACAGTCAACTGGAGAAAACACTGGTGAGGGGAGCATTGTGACAACAGAGTTCATCTGATTTTCATGTATACATGGGACATTCCGTTATTTAAAAATATATTCTTCAATTCACTCTCACAAATAAATGGGGCCAATGGTTTGTGACTACTTAAAAACTTTAACTGATGAATCCTGACTTGGTAGCTTTCAAAGCATATATTTGGTTGAGATACAGTTTTAACTAAAGAAACTCAGTGATGTATGTGTATATGTCTGTGTGTTTAAACATTATAAATACTCTCACATGCAATGTGCTCTGGTAGGTGCTATACTACGTATGTGTTTTTGCATATGCAGAACATATGGTTTGTTTTCAAAAGATGTGAACTTTATTCAATATGCAAACTAAGTCATAAGATATAGCTGCAAAGGAAATCAAAGCATCACATAGAGCTTATTATCTTTAACATTGATAATGCCAGGGTTCAATGAGTGAACAACGTTGGGTGATATAGAGTAAGGAGTTTACCACTGGGGGTTGGTATTATTGTGAGAGTTGGCTGAGAAGCCTATACAAAACTAGTGTCTGTGCATGTGGTGATAGGCCTTAAGTTGGAATAGGACAGATAGTTGGTGTCTATGGAAAAAGAAGAGGGAATTGGCAATAGGGGAAAGTTGCATGGAAGAACTGGAATTCCTGTTAACAAAATGAAATTCATGAGAAAAAACTTGAGCCTTTGTCTATCTCCCACCAACTCTACCTTTCTTGGTGTGAATCACACATACACACTGGCACCTTTTTTCACTGAGTGGCAACCTTAACCAGTCCAGGGGTTACAGAACCTTAAGAAGGATGTCTGACCATAATGAAAGGAGATGCAGGTCCAGATGCTACTCCTTGATAGCATGTAAAACAGGAGATTAATTGTCATAAAACTACTCTAGTGCATCTTGACTTGCTCTGATCTTTACCAAAGAAAATGACTGAAGTTTCATTTTTGCCTTTGGAATCTTCCACAGATGTTTGTTGTGGCCAATCCTAATTTTCAAACATATAAGAAAGGTAATTCTAGAGAATATAGCTCTATCTTACCTAAATTGACACAGCCCAGAGCCACTAATATATTTGTCTTTCTTTATATGATTTTGTGTGTGTGTGTGTGTGTGTGTCTGTGCATGGTTTACATAGTAAACTCAGATCCCTTCTCTGTCTGCTTCCCTATGGGGTAGGCCAGGGAGAGGTCATCATCCTTGTTTTAAGGGTGTCCATATTGAAGCTGCAGAAGAAAGAAGTGACTTGTCCAAGTCACATAAAATAAGTAGAAAAGCTCCAGCTAGATTCTGTCTGCAAGTTTAGGGCTCCTCCTACCATGCACACCTGAACTTATAGCCCTTTTATAAGGGTTTTCAATGATCGACTTCAATTAGTGTGAAAAATAATTTCATCATCAGGTTTATGGATAACAACCATACATTCTCAAAAGCTTATGAGGAAATACCTTCTAATTTTATTAGACTACAGTGGGCCAGAAGACGGTTTAGGAGTTGGGAGGATGAAATTCCCAGGTGCTCCACGTTTGCTTTCCTTCAGACTAAGACACATAATGTGAAGAGATCTTTTGGCATTGTGAGTTTAATGAGTGTACATTAATGCATGCAAGAAAAGTGAAATCACATTGTTAGCTTAATTGACATTTATACTAATAAATATAATAATTATGATAGAATAATTATTGTTTTTTATGACAATAAACTTTTAACAAGTAGAAGAATAACTCAGTTTTACTAACTTGTAAAGTATGAATCTGCTGAGGTAAGGATAGTTGAGAAAATGCAGGGGAGCACACGTGTGTGTAGAGAGAAAGTCTTCCTTTCTCGTTGGTTCACCCTCCAATGGCCTCCGCGGCCGACGCGCTGCAGCCGGCGCACCACGCTGATCCGATGGCAGGAGCCAGGAGCTTATCCTGGTCTCCCATGGGGTACAGGGCCCAAGCACTTGGGCCGTCCTCCACTGCATTCCCTGGCCAGAGCAGAGAGCTGGCCTGGAAGAGGGGCAACCGGGACAGAATCCGGTGCCCCGACCGGGACTAGAACCCGGTGTGCCAGCGCCGCAAGGCGGAGGATTAGCCTAGTGAGCTGCGGCGCCGGCCTTACCTGCTTTTTTTAATGGAGGTTCAAATGAACTAACTCTGTTAAAGTTCTTAGTAGAGTGCATGGCATATCTATAAGCATTTCCTAAATGACATCTAATTATTATTATAAATACTTTCTGTCTCTTTTTTTCTTTATTTTTAAATTCACATTTCTACAGTTGGTCTTGGTCATGACATTAAGGTTTCCATGACTCACTCGGATCTCACAGTTGAGGTATCATTGTACATGTAGATGGTCAGAGGCAGGAAAGAGGAAGCTAGTTCATTTTCTTGAGGAATAATTAACTAAGGCCATAACTCTTCAAGATTCTGATGTTATGAAATAGTTATCATAAAGTACCTCTTATCAGAGCTGAAATTAAATGAAACAGATGCTGTAGCTCAGTGCTTCTCAATCTAGCTAGAAAACAAGTCAGATTGTGTAGTTCCACCAATTCTTTGGCAAGGTTGCTGCTCTGTGACCAGAGAGCACATGCTGAGCACCAACCAAAATGCTCATTTGCAGATGGATAAAAAGGGTCTAGAGAGAAGGAGCTTGCTTCCCCCATCACAATAGGTAATGAAGGTTGACTTGCCTAACAGACTAAGTGGCAAAGAAGGTGCTAGAACCAAATTTCCCAACTCTGATTTCATAGTTCTTTTATCCCATATAACAATGAAAAGAAATGTTTTTATTACATAGGTTATTAGTCTGTTTTGGCATTACTATAAAGAAATCCTTGAGGCTGGGTAAGTTTTTAAAGAAAAAGAATTTATTTAGCTTATGTTTCAGGATTTCGAAGGCCCATATTTAGCGATGGCATTCTCGATGGCATAGTTTTGAGGCACAGGGCATTCATGACAAGAGAGTGTGTGTATATAGGGGTGTGTGTGTGTGTGTGTGTGTGTGTGTTTGTATGTGTGTTTCCTTTGGCTTCTCTTGTAAAGGCATTAGTATTCAGCCATGGGGACTCCAGTTTGATAAACTTCTCTAATGCGATAAACCTTTCAAAGGGGTTAACCTCTCAACAGCATAATAAGATTAACTTTCCATCCTCTTGAGGTAGACATTGTAGCACAGCAGTTTAAGCTGCAATATGGGATACATACCTCCTGTTTCAAAGGGCTGGTTTGAGTTTTGGAGAGGGCAAACCATATTCAAACCATAGGGCACAGCAAGCGTGTAAAGGATATACATTGCAGAGTCAGAAGGATATGAAGTAATTGGGTGGAAGAATTTTCTCAGCCAAGCATTTTATTTTATTAAAAGGTTTTAGGAGTGAACATTCTGTGTAATGGTTAAGATACTGCTTGGGATGCCCACATGTCATGTCAGACACCCTGGTTTAAATCCCAGCTTTCTTTACAATCACAGCTTCCAGCTATGCATACCTGGTGAGGCAACAGATGATAGCTCAAGTATTTGGGTTTCTGCCCGCATTTGGGACACCTAGGTGAAGTTCTAGGATTCTGGCTTCAGCCTGGTCCAATTCTGGCTGTTTTACGCATTTGAGGGAGTGAAACAGTAGATAGAAAAATCTCTCTCTCTGTGTCTCTCTGTCTCTCTGTCTCCCTCTCTGTATATTTATCTACTTTTCTAATAAATAAAAACATAATACTTAAAAAGTTTTAAAGTCATTGTACAGGAAGTGGTTTATTGAAGACTAATATAAAAATATAAATAAGCAAAATAAAATATGTCACCATAATCCCATTGTTTAAAGTTAGCCAAAATGTAGTATTGAATGTGCTTTTATACATCTTGGAGTTTATTTTTTTTACTTTTTCCTTACATATAAAATGGTTTTATATAGCAAATATTATTTCTTATGTTGCAACATCATTTTTAAAAGAGCCAGGATATCTCACTATGGGACTGTTTTACAATTTCCTCAACTTTTGAGGATATGCAGGTAATTTCCTGTTTGTATCTTTGAGAATGGAAAGGAAAGCTATTCCTTGGCTTTCTGTGGCAGGATGACACTGTTTCTGAGAGGCCAAGGGTAGACAGCCAAGGCTATTGTAATAAGAATAATACATTATATGAGTATCAAGCTGAATTTTCAAAGGAGTGACTGATTTGGAAATATAAATTCTTGACAAATAAGAGGCAATGATGGCATGATTACCTGATACGTTAGAAGCCCCCTCT